TCCGGCGCCCCTCAGCGCCCCGCCAGCCCCGGGGCACGCTGCCGTGGTCTCTGGGGTGGGGGGGGTGGGAGGGCTGAGCTTGCCCCGTCCCCTTTCTCCTCCACGTGGACCGGATATTTTCAAGAGAAGAATCTTTCCTACGAGGCTCTCCAGCTGCCAGGAATGTGCGTCTAGGAATGCCCAGGGCCCATCCAAGAACAACTTCCAGACGTGAGGCTGAGTGACGGCAGTCCCTCGCTTCGGGGCTCCAGACTCCCCCACGCTCGCTAGGAGGACGCGGCTTGCCGGAGGCGATGTGTTAATGACACGGGAGGCAGCCGTGCAGCCCGAGTGGGTGGGTGGGAGGCAGGGGGAGGGGAGGGACGGGGTTGTCGCTACTGGGCTGCTTCGGCACTGTTAAGAAACTCCGTCTGGGAGGAATTTGCTCCTTCCTCGGCACTGTGGGGCTGTGGGGGGATGTGGATCCCACTGCTGGGGATTAGCCCCGTGGGGGAGCCGCAGCCCCGCCGTCCTCCTGTGGTGGCCCCAGGCATGTATGTCCCTACGGGATTTTGTCAGGGCTGAGACCCTGGTCTTGACCTACCTGGTGGCACTGTCAGTGCTCTGGGGTTTGCTCCCTGCCCCAGAACAACCAGAGCTAGGGACACCCAGTCAGGGCCTCCCAGTGTTCTCCCCAGCAGTCGCTGGGGTGTCTGTGCCGGGCACGTAAGCACCGGGGACGGGACGAGTGTGTGGGGCATCCTGCCGGCACTGAGCCCGTTCCTGCCGGGCCGTGCCAGCAGGTTCTGCCTGGCTGGTGCCGCACAGGGCATCTCCCACTTTGAGGTCTGGGCTGGGGCAGGAGGTCCCAAGCATCCTCGCAGCGTGCAGCCGGGGTGTGCTCCCGCGTGGCCAGCACGGGACCCTGGGGCTCACTTTTGAGGTGAAAAATGTTCCAGGCCTGCTGGGATCCTGTCTGTGCTCCTGGCAAGAGCCTTGCCCAGGGATTCCTGTGTCAAGTCCACAGCTCCTGGCAGAGCTGAGCCGGCCTTCGGGAAGAGACGCCCAGTCTGGGCTTCCAGGCTCCAGGCAAGGCAGTGCTCCCTGTGCAGCAGCCTGGGGTGTTAAAAATACTTGCTTGTCTCTACGCTGATTGTGTCTCTACAGCTGAAGGCTGCAGCTAGCCCTGCTCTGCCATGCCACGGCTGGAGAGCTGGCCCTGCTCAAGTCTTTTCCTGTGCAAGTGGAGCCGTAGCATGTGTTTTTCAGGGTGAAAAGAGCATCACATGGGGAAAAAAGGCAGAGAAGGCAACGCTGCTCTGCTCCCTTGGCCGTGGAGCCCAGAGAAATGGTTTGCATTCCTGTTCCTGTATCATCACCTGGGCACCTGTGCTGCCGATCCGCTAGCGTCCTCTCGCTCTGTGCCCTGCCGCTGTCACTGCCCAGCCTGCCTGCATCCCCGGAGGTGAAGCAGAGCAGCTCCAGCCTCGCTGCCTGCAGGCTGCATGGGCAGGGCTGCTGCGTCCCCTCCCCTGCTTCTCCCCAGAGGCTCGGTGCCACGTGTGGCACTGCTGAACTCGTGCTCTGCCAGGGCCTTGCATCCCCAGCCTCGCCGCTGCCGGCAGGGACCCCTGCAACCAAGCGAGCCGTGCAGCGGCGTGAGCACATGAGCACGCTGCTCCAGGAGCAAGTACTTCTGCTAGAAATACAGCGGGGTGCAGCTGGACAGACAGCCATACACCTCTGCCTGGCGAGTGTGCCTTGTGCTGCCTGGGAGCACTCGCTGCTGAGAACAGGAACCCGCACCAAGTGTTGGTTGTCGCTGACCCCGCCGCCGCTCCCTCGTCCTGTGCAGGTCCAAGAGGCTGCTGTGAGCGGACGGTCAGATGGAGCGGTCCCCGTGCCTGCGGGGACTCCTGCCTCTGCCTGGCAGCCCCCCGGGGG